TACGTTTATTAGGCTCACTATACCATTAATTCCATTTTGTATTGTGTTTATTACAAATCTGCACGTTTCTGCGGTGCCAATCACAATGTTCGCCAACAAGTGTACTTATCGATAGTTACTGTGGAATCGATTGGTTGCTTTTACGGGCTAAATTTAAAATACCAAACACTTTGAATTCTAAATTAATGATCAAATCTTATACCATAATCGATAGGTTGGACGGTTAAGAATCGTTTTTGAATACAATGAAAACAAATTTTAATATAGCAATCCATGCTTTTCATTTGTTTGTAGCTACTTATTTCATTTCGGTAGACAAATTCAGTACACTTGTTTATTGATTTAAAAGCAGACACATGTTTTAAACACTATTCCGAATTTTATAGGGCAAATATGTTTCATAACATAAGTATTACTTTTTTGTGCGCCTTGGCATTTATATCCTGGTCGTTGCTATGTTATTTACATGCAATTGAGGATAAAACTCACTACGATCACAAAGTGAAAATCTTCACGGGTAAAGATATTCTAATTGTCAATAATTTTATAAGAATAATAATTATTCGTTTTTTTTTTTTTTTTTTTTTTTTTTTTTTTAGTGAGGCCCACCTACGTAGCTGAGTCGAAATCTTGTCCCAATGATTCTCCAGAAATTCATTTTCTAAAAATTTTCTATGACTTGATTATCAACTATGGGATCATACTTTTGGTCGCTATTGCTATCTCAGCATCTGCGCAATGGTTGGGAAAAACGGCCAGACATTGTATTCAAAATGTCCCGCTTAGCAATTTCATGTCAATGGAAGACCCAGAGTATGCTGACCAAGAGGAAGTAGAGGAAGAGAAGCAAATGGAAGTGGAGGAACCTTTTAGTGCAGGAGTGCCAAATAAACATGATTGGAAGGCTGAACAAAAATGGCAAGTGGAATATAAATTGAAGAAGGCGCAGTGGCATATGGAGAGACAGTTGGAGACTGAAAAAAAATGGGAGATGAAACGAAATATGGAGAAGAAACGTTACGTAGAAATCGAGCCAAATATGGAAAGGAAACAGAATTGGAATTTGGAAGAGAAAACGTTGGCTCATCAAGAAAATATAGAGTTGAGAGAGCAGTTAAATGATTTGCAGCAGCATTGCCGTGAATTGCTTCAGGAACTGCGTGCTGTCAATGACTCTAGCCGTTCCAATTCCTCCAGCAGTTGTTTCAGCAGCTCCGAAGCCGACGATCCAGCTTCCGCTCTTATGTGGAAGCAGCCAGCTACAATGTCTTCGAGTGGTTTGTCTATAGCGCAGGATACGGAATCTTTGAGTTCGATGACACAAAAAGTTTACGTGACTCATAGTCATTACCATTTTAATTTTAATGGACCGGTGCAATTAATGAGACAAAACATAAATCTTAGTACAATAGGCCCTCAAAAATTACATGGACGAAGCGAATTTTTACAGGTGTGGGGCACATTTCTCTGTGGACCGAAGGAACGTCCCATGCTAACTGGTATAAATAACATTTTAATGTGAAAGGCGCACAAATCTATATTCGTGAAACTATCTTTTTATATATATATAAAAAAAAAACGTTACTATTTAAATTAATTTGGTATTTTCAATTTTGCTGCCACACTACTCTTACTTAATTGGACGCAACTATCGATAACTGGAATATTAAGCGCGCAGTCGATAGCTCTGCTCACGCCTTTTGCGGTGCATCAAATTTAACTGCCAGTTTGTTTCTTTCGTTCGACGTCGCGTGACTTGTGTGCGCGGAATATTTTTATCAGCAACAGTTCATCTCAAAAAGTGCTGAGTTTTATAAAATTGAGATTAAAAGTAATAATAATAATTCATTTCATATTCTCAACCACTCCAATAAACGTTAATTCTATCACACTAATAACTCTTGACAATGCGGACATCGGTCATATTTTAAATTGAAATGTTTCTTGTTTGTGCGATCGTGAATGGAAAAATGCAAAAGTGATTGAAAAGAAAAACAACAGAAAAGTTGGCGTAAAGTACGCTCGTCACGTTTTCTAAGAATCTGATTGTTCTTGTTCTTGTTATTATTATTGTTGTTGTTCTAGTTGATGCAGATGCGCCTTTTACGCTATGCATTTGCATTTCCATCAAAGTTGTTATATGATAACTGTTTGTGTTTCTTCTTCTTATTGTTACATTGCGGTGCTAAGCTCAGTTTTATCTCGTTGACTGCAGCGAATGGCATTGTTTGCCTTTTATTTGTGCATTATCACTCCCACACACACATACACATTCCCAGAACACAGTCGCACACATCCAACCTGCGGAATAATCATTCAAAGCACCAATAATAATGTGCATCTCTCCTTTTGTTGTCTCGCTCACTCTTTCTCTATTCCTTACCAGTGCTGCCTTAAGATCTTCAGACTTTTGTTTGTCAAAACAAAATCAAAATTATTATGATATATTTTGGGAAATTTTTATTTGGATTTTATATTTTTGGTGCTCTGCTGCTTTGTGGTCGCTCTTGCGCTTGTCTAAAAATAGCCGCCCGCCGCTGATAAAGCATCAGATCACTCTCACTATCGATGAGAGCATAAGGCTGTTGCTGCTGCTCTTTCTCTCTCTCTTGCTCTGGCACTCTCATAAACTCTCACTGCCTCTCCCGCTTTATCTTACTGTGAATGTGTGTGTGTGAGTAATTCTTGCGGCATTTTAATTCTCGTGTTTTATTTGCCGTGGGGCAGATAAAACAGCTGAGCCGTCCTCCGCCCAGGAATGTGCTGGCGTTGCATTTTCCATTTCTATATTTGTAATGCACACACCGTTTTTGTCGTTTTGCCCCACTGTCAACAGCGTTTTACAATTGAATCATCAACAAGTTGGTGCTGTTGTTGTTCGCTATTTTCTTACCTTCTGCTATTGTTGTTTATGTTTTGTTTTATGCGAATAAATCACATTTGGTTTTGATTTTCTTTAGCCTCTTGCAAATTCTTAGCGGAAATGTCAATAAATAAAAAGTTTAAAGGCACTCTCACACTTGGATATACATAAGAATATGTACATATATACACACGTAGATACATATATAATTATGTATGTATGAATATACATACCTATGCATGTTCATATATGCATATGTTTGTATGCAGCTTAACTGCGCTGCTTACGTCGCGCATAATAAAGATTAACGCATTTCTTATCAAGCGTTGATAGCAGAGCAGACGACATCCACAGCAACAATAATAATAACAACAACAACATCAACAACAGTCAAAGAGCAGAGTGAGCATTTGAGCTTCGCTTTTTGCCTCCTTCGCTCAAACACACACATACTGAAACACACTCGCATGTCCACTTAGTAGGCACTGATATCTCACGCGTTGTCGTTGACTTCGCTGATTAGCATTAACTAAGCCACACCAACAACAACAACGAACGCGTCTAGTTTTGTTGTATTATTTATTTGTTTTCTGGTTTTCAACTGCACACCCACACACACGCACACATGTGTGTACATATACACCTATATAAGTAAATTGCAAGAGGAAGATAGAAGAGATTGGCTGTCGCAGCAGCCGCCGTCGGCGCTTTATTTTCGCGCTGCTGCTGATAAAATAAAGAACAATATTAATTTAAGTTTAAAAATAGAATTTTGCTGCAGATGCCTCTTTTCTGCATGTATGTTTGTACCAATGTATGTATATATGTCCATTTGCATTTGTATCAGTGAGCTGAGCGGCAGAAAAAAAGTTGCTCACGCATACAAAAACAAGCAACAACTCTGCTTGATCTGCCTGCTTGTCTGTGATTGCGCTGCTCGCTCTTTTGGTCACTCGTTCTCGCTCTCGTTGCCGCTCTCTCAGCGAGGCGACGTTGGAGCCAATTCAGCGCTCGTTTTGCTTCACGCTTTTCAGTATTATTCTATTCGCCTGCGTTTCAAGTTGATATTCACGGATTGCAGACTACGTGCACGCATACATACACAAACGAGATATATACATACACATATGTACGCATGTATGTATGTTTATTATATATTTTGATTGGATTGGGGCAAAAGAGTGCGCCATCGTTCGGTGTGTTTTTTCTTGTTTCTGGAGCAACAGCAGCAGTAAAGTAAAATAAAATAAAAAACAAACAAAAAACACATTAAAAATATTTATGCAACAATTTTCAAATGTTCGGCAGCTTGTGTATGGATGTGTTGTGTGTGTGTGCATTGTTTTGTAAATTACTCGAGATAATTATTTAAAAAAAGTAAAACAACAAAATGTGTTAATGAGAATATTTGCACATCAACTAATATCTGATAATTAATATTTAGTATTTTTCTCGCTCTTGCGTTCACGCTTGCACATTCTCTCATTTTCTTTCTCTCGTTACGATCTTGATGTGCATGCGAGTATGAGAGTTGTGTGTGAGTGTGTGTGTATGTAATCACAAAACATGCGGAAAAGCGCTTGGTAAAAAAAGAAAAACAAATACAAACTGAGTGATTTTTAAAACGCTTGAGACGTAAATGCAAAGAAGATAACAGAACTTTGTGATAAATCGCACTAAAATCCGAATTCCAATGCAAACCATTTTGTTGTTCCTTATCTAAGCTGTAAATAAAATAGATTTCCCTAAAAAGTATCTATGGGTCCGTGCGAAAGGGAATACAAAATAATCGCAGGGTAGTATTAGGTAAAATTTTTAAAGGAAGCAACTGAAATCATTATCATCATCTAGCTGAATTTAAATCACGCTTTATATTTTGAGTTGGGTTTTGAGCTGAGTCGCACTGTAGTCTTCGACTTCAAGTCAGTTGCTGACATTGTTGCAATTTACCGCTAAAAGCATCATTAGCGCTGTTTCGCTCTGTTCGCTCTCCTTTATCTACATATTCGCTCTGTGTGTGTGCGTGTGTGTCTGCTTGTCTGCTAAATAAATGCACATAATTAACCAGAATATTTTTCATTCAAAAAGCAAGATTTATAAAAATAAATACCCAATCGAATATATATATGCGAAAAATAATAACAAATCGAATTGCGGCGCGATAACAAATATGTAAAGAAAAAAAAAAAAAGGAAAAAAACAAACAAAAACCACAACAAAGTGAAACAAGTGCTAAAGCAATTAAAACGAAAACCAAAAGGCAATTAGAAGAATTTACAATACTTCTGTGCGAATGTAATACGAATGTGAATCACATTAAGAATAAGCAAATCAAAATCAAGCAAACGCTTTATCTACATAACTGTAAGCCAGCAACGTGGGAGGCGTCAAGAGAGTAATAGAAACAAAACGACAGCGAGAGAGAGAGAGAGAGAAAGAGAGCTAGCGAGAGAAATTGCGAGATCGTGGCAAGCAACACACAAGGCCATCCCATCCAATAATGTGAGTAACCCATCCGCCTTTGTTCCTATACAATCACACACACATACACATAAACAATAATCTTTTTGCTCTTGTTCATATATTTATTTGAAATTTGAAAAATAAATTGGAGCAAGGATACGTCTTTTAGATGTACTTAGAGTATTTTTATTTATTTAGAGGATAGAGATAGTATGAAATGAAAACAAACTTATAGAGTAAGGCACTAACTACATATACATACATATGAATATAGTAAACAACACACAAAAACAGAAAGTTATGCTAAAGTTGAGTTATTCTTTTAAAATATTTTTTCATTCATGTAAACACTAATTAACTGTACAGAAGACAAAGTTATCTAGGGGCAGCCAACTCTCGTTGTTTCTCTTGCAATTATGCAAAGAAAAAGTTTGTCTTTGCTGGACATTTTTGTTGTCGAATTCTTGTTGTCGGCAACTGTTGGGAATTGTGATGTCAACAGTTGCGGAACCGCTGAGCTAAGGGGTCAAAAGAATTGCATTTCATGAATAGAAACCTTGATAATGCATCTTTGTTTTTTATGTGACTGGGATGCGCTCTAATTGCTACTGATGCTGCTGCTGCTGCTGCTGCCGCAACTCCTGCTTCTTCTTCTCCGACTTCGACATTGGCATTGGCATGTGGCATCGGCTCCCATTCTGTTTGTGGTTGCGGCTGTTACTCAAACTATTTGCGCAGCGTTTGCAGCAAATATTAAAATTTTATCCAATTTTTTTGCTTTATTTTGTTTTTGTGCATATGAGAATTTTGTATGCATACGAAATGTAAATTGAAATGAAATGAATAGCAATCTCTTTTCAATAGCTAATGAAATATTAATTAAACATAGAGATAGAAAACTTAAAAAGCTGTGTGTTGCCGTCCCTTTCAAACTTATCTCTTTTATGAATTTGAGGATTTTCTGTGCTTCCTAGAGGAAAAAGACATAAATATAGGCCCTTAAGAGACATCTAGTAACAGTTTAACTGTCCTTTGGTAGAACTTTTATTTTCCTTTATGCCATTGAATCTCACGTAAGCAGTTAAAGATATATAAATTTGCTTGGAAGATTAAAGAGTTCTGCCCCGTCGTTTAAAGAATTTTCTCTGTGAATTCAGCGCTAAAAATATGCAGATGTTTATTTTTGGGCCACAGACAATGGAAATGTTTTGTGTTTGTAAACGACTTTGCATTTATCTTCCGCTACTTTTTGTTTGCCCACAAATATTATTAAGTAATACATCTGGCTATAAGGTGAATTGTTTCTCTTTTTCCAGTTAACTGAAACAGAAAGTTGAACAGGTGTTTTGTTTCTTTCGCTTCTTTTTTAGGTTTGCTTAACGTAAGTTTTATATTCATAACCAAATTCTTTAAGAAGTTGGGCAAACTTGAATGGAAACTGAAATTCGGGTTGAAAATCATATATATGTTGTATATATAGATTATTAATAAAGTCTTATTTAAGTTGTTATTTAAGTTAAATGGATTATTGGAAATCTGCTAGAAGATTATAATTAAAATAAGTTATCTATTCACTGCTCCGAGCTGTTAAAGAATTCATATATATATATATCTTTAATAATATATATGCTATATAAGCAGCGAAAGAGTATTTTATAGTCGTTAGCATCTGCAACTTGTTTAACTTCCTATTTTTATATAAATATATAGATGAGCTTTCCTGTTTTCATTTGCTTTTTGGATATCCGGAATTTAATTATCAGAAAGTTTCTTAAAATTGATTAAGACAAGATATGCAAATACATATTTATATAAATAGATACATTTATACATGTACATATTTATATAACTACGAGGTATATGGCTGCAAATGTGAAATAAAACTTACGGCTTTTAAAATTCCTGTTTGGCCTGAATAGTAGTTTAAAAAACTAAAAAAAAAAAAAAAATGCTTAAAAAAGAAAATCCAGCGGTAACTGGCAAAAACGAGTGGAACATTTTTCATTTTTGTTTTTGTTTTTCAACAAAGCTGTAAATCAAAACGCGTTTTAAGCAAAAATAAAAAATGGAAAAAATTGATAGCAAGAAGAGGAGCAAAAATCGAGGCGCAAAAATTAATGTGATATTTAATTTTTTGCTTTTCGAATTTTTTGCGACAGTTTTTTTTTTTCTGGGTGTAAACTCTATATATTTTGCTAAAATAAACTTGTTTTCTGTTTCCGCGCACACCGATACAAAAATAAATAAATATGCATGCACATGTGTGTGTAAATTTTAGCGTGTGCTTTTTGTTATATATATATATATTTTTTGCGCTCTGAAACCGCAAAGTTCTGCGCGTTTGGCTCGACAATCTTATCATCTAATGTGCTAAAAATAGATTTGGCCGCCCCTGAGTAGTTCCATATGTATGCGTGTGTGCGAGTGTGTGTGTGCGTGCACATATGAATTTGTGTCTGCTATATGCATATGTGTGCCTCTGGAACTTCGCGCCAAACCTTTTTCTCTATTCATATCTCTAGCTATCTGCAGCCGTATCTTTGTACCTGTATCTGTATCTGTATCTGTATCTGTACCTGTACCTGTATCTGTATCTGTATCTGTATTTGTATCTGTATCTGTATCTGTATCTGTATCTGTATCTGTATCTGTATCTGTATCTGCATCTGTATCTGTATCTGTATCTGTATCTGTATCTGTATCTGTATCTGTAACTGTTTCTGTATCTGTATCTGTATCTGTATCTGTATCTGTATCTGTATCTGTATCTGTATCTGTATCTGTATCTGTATCTGTATCTGTATCTGTATCTGTACTTGCAACTGTATCTTCTAGAATATATATATATCTATACTTTTGTATCTTAGCATATCGTATATCTGTCTGTAGCTGTATTTTCGTATCTGTATATACATATATATATATTCTATATGTATATGTAGCTGTACCTATATATCTCTATCTGTATTTTTCGCTATATCTTTGCATCTTTGGCTGTATCTTTACAATTTTATCTATGTATCTAGCTGTATTTGTATTTATGTCTTTTCTTGTGTATTTGTATCTGTAACAGTATGTTTGCATCTCTAACTGTAACTGTAGCTGCATCCTTTCATCGCTATCTGTATTTATGCTTGTATCTTTATCAGTATCTATAGCTGTACCTGTATCTTTGTACATAAAATTGGCTCTGTGTGCACGTACATGTGAAACTCTATATCTGTCGCTGTCTCTGTATAGCTTTATCTTTACAAATGTATCTATATCTGTGCTCATGCACAACATGTACTTGCTTGTAGATGTTTTTATATATCGCCCTAAAATTTTCGCTAACTAAATTATTATTATTATTGGTTGTTTTTTTTCTTCTTTCGTTTTTTTGTTCTTTCTACATCTGTGTTGTTAAATTTTTTTGTTAGAGCGACCGTGTGATCATTTAGCGCTGTGCTAATTTAATTTGTCTGCGTGTTTGTGCCTCTTGTGTATGGAATTTGTTTTTGGTAGCTTCTGAAAATATGGGAGTATTGCAAAACGCAAAGCAAACAATTCATGAAGTCGAATATGGCCAACGAATTTCTCCATACAGATCACAATTTTGAACATCGCTTGGCTGCTTTACGCTCGAACAGTCCCAAATACTTATATCCTATGCTCTAAAAACTTTAATCTGTTTTTCGGTGAGCTGAAAATGCGAGAAGAGAGAGACAGAAAAAAATAATAAATAATCCAGAAAAATGCATCAATAGAGTGAAATTGTTGTCTATAAATTGATTTAAAATTTTCCACAGCTTTTGCTTTTTACATTTCTTGCTGTTCGCCCTGCTGCTGTTCAACGGTAATAATAATTATATTAAAAATAAAAATAAAAATAATAGATACATGTTGATGATATAAAAAAGTAAAACAGAAATCGAATAAATGCAAAATATTTTTTTTTTTTGCATCAATAATTTCACTTCTCATTTAAAGTTTGTGCAAAAAGTTAGCAGCAAACTGTGGATTTATAATAACTCAACTCGATATGTCGTCTCTGCTGCAAATGGCTGTTGCTGTTGTTGTTGTTGCATCTGTGTGTAATAAATATATACATACATATACATATATAGATGTTTACCTTTGGGATTGTGTAGTTGAAATTCCATCATAAATAATTTCACACATTGAAACGCTTTACTCCTAGTTGGACACAACGTGCTAACAGTTGAATGAGAGAGACTTGAATGTGATTATGTTTTAACTCGCTGAAAACTGCAGATATTAAAGAACATTTAAGCTTAGAGCTAAGCCTTTGACTTAAAAGGAATTTCAGTTTCGTTTGTTGCATTCCAAAAGGCAGGAGATGCCGATTATTTTCTGAAGAGACAATTCAAAAGATATTTATGTAGTCCTAGAATAATAATTTAAATATTTAGCGTACATTCATTTATTATTGCTGAAATATTTAAACTTTAATCATGTTAGATCCTTAAAATTCAATGTATATTCGTGTGCCAGTTAAAAAGTACAAAGTAGAAAACGCATTTAGTTTTCCTTTGATGTATATAATTTCCCAACTCCCTCTCTTTACGCACACACATTAAAAACAATTAAAGTACGTTTAAATCTAAGCTTTTATTAAGCTTTTAGTTATATATATATATATTATATATATATATATATACATATATATCCCCATAAGCTGCTAATAAACTGCTGTCAAATGCCACTGATGCATTGCCTTGCTCGTTTTGCATGCCCGAAACTGATGCTCGTGGCGCTGGTTTCTGTGGGTTACCTAAAGCTGCCACCCACAGTTGCCACCCACAACTGCCTCCCACCCCTGTCACCTACCACTGCGTTAAACTCTTCAATGAATTCGCCAACAATACTGAGAGAGTGAGAGAGAGAGAGGTGGAGAGCGAGACGACGAAACGTGAGCTCACAGTTGTTCCTGGAGTGCGTATTATAATGAATATGCATATGTGTGTGTGTGTGTGTGCAGCGATGTAAACACATTTATTGGTCTAAATTGTCACCAAAATCTGTATTACCTGGAGGGG